TCAAGAATAAAGTTGATAGCTGAAACAGTATACAATGAATAATGTGTAATCATATGGTGATAAATAAAAGGTGTTTTATTTATGTTCATAGGTTTTGATACCATATTCGATTCAATTATTCTTGTGTTTCACTTTGCATGTTTTGACTTCCAGAATAAACTAGGTCATTATTCTGGATGACTAAGTTATTCAAACCATCCACAGTCGGTCATATGTTGGAAGTAGATATGAATTAAGACTGTCATGGGTTGGCTTGTAGAGGTCTAAGATGTTGGACAAAGGGCTACAACACTCATGATTGCTCATAAGTTCTGAGTATTGGATTCAACCCGCGCTCATTGGAATCACTTCATGGATTTTATCACGAGTGATCATGAGACGATAATATCTTATATTCTTCAAACCTAGAGATATGAGTTGTTACTATGAGTTGGTTATACATTGATTGCACGAAAACGCATTGGTAACTCGATGTTATAAAACGTGCCTTTGTGTATGATTCAACAAGTAGTAGAACAAGCCATATGAGTCGAAGTTTATCCATTCCTTTTACCTTCGGGATAAAAGCGATATCTGTGGGCCCCTCGATGATTTGGTGATGACAAACGTAAGTGCTCGACCGGGCCTGGACTGATTTGATTTGTTCAATTAGTCAATCGTCATAAATCGGAAATCGGGAAACAACAAATGGACAGAGAGAATGATTATAATCCATGTCTCAGTCCATATGATATCTAGAATGGAGGAATATATGATCCCTTATCTAATGGACATGTCATTTGATTTGTTCAGAGTTTGACAGCGGTTTTAAGAGCTACGATTGCTAGTCGGGATCTTGGAGTCATACTTGAATAATAGTTTTAGACTTATCCAAGTGGGAGACTGTTGGATTAGGTGTCTAAGCCCACAACTATTATTGGTATGTATTCGACCCGAGAGTAGCATGGTCCATTTGGGTTGCATATCATCAGGACAATTTGTTAGGATGGACTTTTGAGAGAAGGTTATTTATGGTTTATTAATATATTATAAGTAATAATATATTAATATGAAATCATATGTTTTAATTAGTAGTGATCAAGAATTAATTTGGAATTAATTTAGTGGTCGAAAGAGACTAATTAAATCTATGGGGACTAATTATGATAATTAGTTATATTTATATGTGTTGGGCTTATGATCCATGTTGGACCAAGTTTATGTATGGATACATAAAGAGTTGGGCCACATGAACCATGGATCATAAAACCCATGGGTATGGATTTGGGTTATATCCATGACCCTAGAAATCCCACATATAAATAGATACTTCATTGCCCAAAATCGCCACTTGTATCTTTTTAGAGTTCATGGTGTCTTTTGTGTGCATGGAATTCTCTCTCAAGTTCATCCTTTGTCCATGGTGTGTTGTGATTCCATTTGAGGCTTCCACACTATTGGGGCTAAGCTCTTTAAAGCCAAATACACCAAGAATTCAAGCTCCATCAAAAGGTATGTCATGCTAACTAGTATATTATAATTTTATGTTAAATGCATGCTAGTTGTAAGATTAATACCTTGGAAACCATTTGCATGTATAATTAGTGAAAACATAGATCCAAGGTATTTAGGGTTGTATGTGCACCATAGGATGTTGTATTATACCAAAACCCAACAGTGGCGTCACTATACTCGGTAATATACCATCACTAACATCACAATACTCATCAAAACTCGAGGGATCTCACACACTACAAGTTCCCTGGTCTTATCTCAGCCTTCCTTGATTCGAGTACTGATCCTCTGCTTTCAGTAGTACGGGCCCATACTACCTTCCACATCTATCCGTACTTTCCTCAAGTACTGCCTCGACTCCACCAAGTCCCTTCTACTACTACTGCTGATCTTTCGAATGAGAGATCCTACCCTACAACGGTTGGACTCAAACAAGAGCTGCGAAATAGAGCTAGACCTAACCTTCTGAAATTATTTAGTCCTTGCAATATGTAACTTAACATATTCGTTTACTAGTTAGTAAAAGATAACTAGAACTCCTAAAAGCACAAAGCAAGCAGCATTCGAGCATTGAGTGCATATAATCAAGCATATACTAATCAGGCTATCATACTGACTAATCCGTACTAGCATGCAGTTCATAGAGCTGAGATACATATAACAGGCACATAAGGCATCCTTCCTAGATCCTTAGTCCTAACTAGCATGCAATTCTCATAAAGCTGATATACATATAATAGACACATAAGACATCCTTCCTAGATCCTTAGTCCTAAACTAGCATGCAATTCTCATAAAGCTGATACACATATAATAGGCACATAAGGCATCCTTCCTAGATCCTTAGTCCTAAACTAGCATGCAATTCTCATTAGCGGATAAACATAACATAAACTTGTATGGGTAATTTGGGAGTACTTACTTGAGCTCGGCTGATTGCATGCACCACACCCTTTTCTCTTTTTCAAAATTCTTTTCGCTTTTTCTAAAACTCTTTTCTTTATACTTTTTCTAAAATTGTTTTCTTTTCTCAAAATCCTTTTGTAAACATGGTTTTTCTCTTGAAAACTTTATACCACTTCCTTAGTTTGAGTTCAGACACACCCGGACGTGTGCCCGAATCCCTCAAACCAAGGCTCTGATACCAACTTGAAACATCCCAAAAATACAGTCTAAAAATTTCGTTCTAAATCAGTAATAAAACCATAGTCATCATACGTCGTAGAAAAATCACAACAATATATCTCAAAATAATATAACATCTGTCATGTATATCAGAGTATAAACATACCAGGCTGAACAAATGGTGTGTGCACTGCAATCTTCCTGAGCTCCTCTTTTGAAAACTGAGTACCTGAAATCAAAACTGAAAACTGTAAGCACGAAGCTTAGCGAGTCTCCCCAAACTACCACATACCATACAATAACACATATAGCACATACTGGGCCTTCCCCACTGCATCGGGCCCCGCCCGGCATCAGACCAAAGTCCAGACTAACTTGGGCCCCGCCCATTACATCGGGCCCCGCCCGACATCGGACCGAAGTCCGGAAGAACTTGGGCCCCGCCCGGCATCGGACCGAAGTCCGGAATATACTTGGGTCCCGCCCACTGCATCGGACCGAAGTCCGGAATGTACTGAACATAACATAAGCATAAACATATAACATAATCACATATACTGCATCAGGTTTGCCCGGCCTCGGACCAAAGCCCGGAACATATAACACATAACATAAACATGCATGAATCACAAAGACATCAAGCATACATAACTACTTCTCGGGTTTCCCGACATCGGACCGAAGTCCAAGACACATAACATATAACAAGTAAGCTATATCACTGCATCGGGCCCCGCCCGGCATCGGACCGAAGTCCGGTACTACTAACATCTAAACGGGCCGGCATTTTGGCCTTAGACCCGTTCCTACTGGAAGGAAACTCACCTCACACTGCTGAAGTCCCGCTGATAAAACCATAGTTGCTCAATGACAGATTCTCGATCTGTCAATATCAAAATAACACCCAATTAATAATTGGGTTCTATCACATATCCATAATTCCATGCTTGGGGTAAAAGACTACTTTACCCTTAACTTAGCTTGACTCAGTCCCAAGGCCCAATCCAAAGGCCCAAAGTCCAACTATAGCTCAAAGCCCAACCTTTGGCCTAATTTTCCAAATTGGGCCCAAACCTCTACATGGACTTCCCTTAAGGCCCAATTGTTCAGTCCGGTCCAACATGTCTCATTATAAGGGCCCAATACCATACAACCATCTAGGCCCAACTATGACCCAATTTTCCAAATTGGTCCCAAACCCTCTTATAGGCCTCACCCTAAAGCCCATTACATTGTTCTAGTCCATTTGCTTGTTCTTGGATGGCCCAACACAAAGCCCAAGTGAAATTAGGGTTTCATATAAAATGATGATTAGGGTTAAGTGTTTCTCACTTAACCCATTAAGGACTTAATCCAAAAAAAACACACACACACAACCACCCTAGTGGTGGCCGGCGGTGGCACGTGACGGCAGCCACCACCTCATGGTGGTGGCAGTGGCTTCCTTGCGATTTCCAGCTAGACTAAACATGCACTAATCAGAAATACATGCTCACACATCCGCTGAATGGTCACAAAACGACTCCCCAGCCACCCACCAGCGGTGACCGGCGACGACAGCAACAACTTTAGGACGACAAAGCAACAACCGACGTCACCGGGAAAAGGTAGAGGTGGCGGCGCTAGACGGCAACACCGCTGCTCCTCAGCGCCACAGTGGCGGACGTGGGCTGAGTCAGCCACCCAAACGCGAGCAGCAACGTACGCACGAACGAGCTTCCTAATCCCTTGAGCCTCTTCGTCTTGCCGGCGACGGAACTAGGTGGCTGCTCCGGTGGTTCTTTGTTGGCGGTGAGGAGATGGCGGCAACGGGCCCCTGCTGGTCGGAACAGCGAACGACGGCAGTCTTCACGCATGGCGGTTGGAGCATCGACACGACACGGTAGTCCTTCGAGATGGTAATCGCTGACCGGAGCAATGGAAACGAGTCCTCCGACGACGACAGCGACAATGCAACAGTAGCGGCGGCAGGAGGCTCGGCAGCACATCGGTGGACGGTCTCAGAAGAGGGAAACACCACGGTAACCTCGGCACAGATAAGACCCCTTTGTTTTGATTGGGTTGTTAAACCTAAGTGCTTGTTCGTTTTGTTTTTTTTTTTCAGAGATTTGATTCGAGTAAGTTTGATTGTCATCACTTACTCTTAATGAATCAGCCTTGGATGACTCACTAGGCAAATCTATTACCTAACATATTTTGATGTGTGTTCAGATTGAAGACCTTAACTTACGTATAATATTCAAGTAGCAAACAAATCATTTAAGGAAAAATCTCAACAAAATTCAAAGTAAAGTAGAGGATGTGTGTTCCCGGTAAACCATCTTAGTCCAAAGCTTTCCAATTCACTCCTTACGTCAATGAAAGTTCACCTCAAACTCCACCTATTTGAACAGATGGTGGTTAGTGGTGATCGCTGAGACGTCAAAGCTAGATTTGAACAGGTGGTTGTTAGTGGCAGTCGCTTCTTCTTCTTCTTCTCTCAGTTGACCTGGATGATGGTCAATGGTCGTCGGCGGCGGTGATGGTAGAGGTTTTATGATATTTACTGTAATGTATATGAAGGCAATGGAGTTACGAGATGTAAATTATTATTATTTTTTACCTTAATACGCCTGGTTTGATCACTCTTAATAGATAGCCTCTTATTCAAGAAAACATGGTTAATAGTTGGTGTTAATGAGATTAATTAGTTTCTCAGATTTTTTCTAAAGAAAACAGTTTTCACTGTGAATATATGTATTTCTATGTGGGTTATGAGAACTAGGTATAAAAGTTACTAATACAGATCACTCTTCAATATTATCGGTAGTCTCTTATGTATCAAAAATTATTGATATTACGCAGTACTGATCACTAGTAAAAAAAAAGTTTAATTTTTGATGAACGATGTTTAATCATAGGATGTTATTTAACAACATTCTTATTTTTATGATTTTGGCTTAAATATTTCCATAAATGAACCTAGACTCTAAAGCTAGTGACCTAATTTTATTAGACAAGTTGAATGGCGTTTGTCGTGTGAGCTGTGAGCCTGTGACTGTGTTGTGTATGCTATTATGACACCAAGGTTCTAAAAAGCTCGCCATGGCTCTGCCATGGCGCGCCACGGCTCCAAGGCTTGCACCTGCCGTCAAGTTTTGCCAAAACGCCGCCTTAACTCATATATGTGTATAAAAATGAATAATAGTTGAAAATACATGTAAAAATATTAATTATATAGAAAATTGCCGCCTTAAGTCACGCCTTACAAACGCCGTGACTCGCCAAGGCTCGGAAAAACTTGAGGCTTGACATTGCCGCCAAGTCATGTATGACAACGAACGCAGCCTGTGATAAATTCAGATTCTGTTGCTAATGGGTTGAACTTAAAGGCTCGTTATTTGGCCTTTAACCTTAAACTGGTACTTTGTATAATTTTGTTTTTATTCCAAGTAATATGTCCCTTTAAACATTTTTCTCAAATGTTTGAAATACATGCAAAAGCAATAATTTCCACTTTCAGTTAAAATTTATGAAGTACCTAAAAATCATTATATCAATGAATATGAAAAAAATGGTTAGTTCTACTTCTGATCTACAATATTGTCTATATGTACATTACTACATGCAAAAAGACCAGCATATCTACCGACTTATACAAACATCGTTTCTTTAAACTTCACCCACTATCACCACGACTTCATTGTAGAAATGAAACTCGGCTCGAATATCCTTTGACCAGTGGCTAATATATGCCGAGGGTCAAACTCCATTTTCCTCTTGTAAAATTGGGGCCATTTTTCTCCATAATGATCCATCCACTCTTCTTGTGTGGTGTAATGTGGCAAATATTGTTTGATATCGATTTTTTCATCTTTGCAAAACTTTAAAATCTGACGGTTCTCATCACTCAACCGCTCTAATGTCAATGCTTCATCACCGTTCTGCAAAGCTGACCTAAGCAACGCCACCAAGTAAAACACCTCCTCATTCGGTGTCACCACTGATGTCTCCGCATCCCACCTACACAGTTAACCACATATAAATATTCTGCTATATAATTATTTTTTCCAGTAACCCTAAACCCAATTGAGACTACTAAAAGCTAAAATTCAAACTGTTAACATTTTTTTTTTTCAAATATACCTATTATTATTTATGCATAAAGTACAACATATCACATGAAGGATCTTTTCAACATGTTAGATGCATGGTCAAAGTAGAAAGCATGATCTCTATATGTCATGTAGATATGCATGAAGTCGTATAATATTGTATAGCATCATATGGATATACGGATGGAATATTATATTATATTCTTACTTGTTTTTGTTCATGGGGTAGATGAGGATGGGTCCACTAGTCTTATTCCCCAAAATGCCCTTGAAGACTCCTTGGTCAAAGTCAGCAATTCTTGATTTGGGTACAAACAGGTTAAGCCACGGGTGTGGTACATCCCATAAACCCTTGGACCGGAGTTTTAACTCAGCCTTGTGAACCCGGTCCAAGAATTCCACATATGGAAGATCAGTAGTGAACACTGATGCTGGTATATAGTTTAATTTCTCTAACAAAGCGTCCACTTCCTGCATAAATAAATTAATAAAAAAGAGTGAACAAAAGTACACTTCTTTTTATAACTACATTTACTTACTTTATTAATTAGCTTCCTAATTATTTGGTGGGTGGATTGCATCGATTTAATTATGAGTACCAATAGTTTTTTTTCTTTTTATAAAAGTAAAATATTAGTAATGTTTGTCGTCAATCATCATATCAAATCAACAGAAGATCTCCTGTGTTTTCTTGTGCAGAGTTCGTATATTTTATTAAACTTAAACACCTGTAAAGGAATTGTTCTAGGGTTAATTAATTACCTGATCAACAGATTGTGGGTCGGAATGATTGTAATAGTTCTTGGTGATTTCCAGACAATACAGGACGTTGCCACCATCAGCAATGGAGGAGATTTTAACAGGGTTACTAGGGGAGAAGAAGGAAGACCTCCAGTTGTTGATGAGACCTTCGTCCACGATCACAAAACCTTCGACATAGTCAAACTTCTTGGAGCTTGGTTGACCATGGAGGGAGATGAGATATTCTTGATCATGGGTAAACACCGAGAAGTTTGAATACAGTACACGGATCCATCTCACCTGAAGGTAATTAATTGTCAATTATCATAGAATAATAAGTTAAGAAACAAGAGTCATGGGCCATAACCTAAAAAGCGTGAGAAAATGACATTATGTTTGTCGATGGAATAATAATAATAACAATAACTGGCACATCAACAACAACACAAACACAAACGCAAACGCAAACGCAAGCAGGTTTTGAATTTTGAGTGGTTGAAAAAACTTCATCGCCATTAACATGAACATGGACCACTAAACCATTGCTCTTTTGTAAATAATTTATTTTGTTTCGATTCAAAATCTCCAAAATTGTACTGTATTTCATGGAAAGAATATGTAATTAAAAATAGTAAATTAAACATATCGAAAGAAATTAAAACATACTCTTTGAGGGGAAGCTTCCAATGCAATTCTAGCCCTTGTGATGATCCCAAATTGACCTAGCCCTCCCATAACCCCATGGAACAATTCCGAGTTTTTATTCTCTGCGCATGTCACCACCTCTCCTTTTCCTGCACTTGTTCACACAACATACCATTAATCAATGGATCTGAATGAATTAAGTTATGATTTGTATGGTAGTGCATTCTTGGGTTGTACGGTATAAGTAAGTAATGCAGTAGGGTAAGTATCGTTTTCAAAATCATGCATGAAAGAGGATGGTGGAATTCATTAATTACCTGTGACGACATCGACCTCATGAACATTGCTAATCTGAGGGCCATGGTTGAAAGCTTGTCCACTGATTCCTGCATTAGAGAGAGTACCACCAACAGAAAGGTACAAGTAATCAGTCCACGATTTTGGTGCTAGTCCATATTGTAGCGTAGACTTGAGCACATCGATCCAAAAGCTCCCCGCCCCACACGTCCACATACATCAACTTCTCGGAAACCACCGGCGCCACCGGAGCCCCACTCGATCCGCTCATTTGGACCACCACACCGTTGGCTGCCTGAGACTGACCATTGATTGAATGCCCGTGGCCTCTCGCTGATACCACGAATCCGTGACCGGATTCGTAAGCCAATTTTATGATCTTTGCCACGTCGGCGGCGGAAGACGGATGAAGAACCGCTGTCGGTTCGATACTCGTCATTTTGCCGAAATCGAGAGAAGCGGAATGGAGGTCCGTTCGGTTGAAGCTTAACTGAGGTTCTGTTCCGATGAGGAAGTCGGTAGGGTGTAGGGTTAATCCGACGATCACGATCAAATGGCATATGGCGGAGAGAAGTAGTAGAATTGGTGCCATGATTTAGCGGGTGTTGAAGAAGGTGTACGGAAATCACGGAGACCGGCGGAGGGGATGGCGGATTTAAGGCGGTTTACGGAGGAGCATGTAGGAGATTCGTTTTGCACGGGCTGATTGTTGCTATATATAGAAGGTTGGAAATCAAGATTTTTCTTTTTCTTTTTTAGTTATGAATTTCTTTCAAAGAAATCATTACGCGCATTGAGCGTGTTTGTGTGTGAGAGAGAAAGAGAGTGTAGTGGGGATTGAGTTATGTGAGGGTTATAAGATGCAGGCTCTCTCTCTCTCTATTTATAGCACACTCGGACCTTGGAAGTCAGACACATCGGAACTCACGTGGTAAAATTTGTGTGGCACGTGACATGTCACTTTTCTTTCTATTTCTTTGGGGGTGATTTAGAAAAATTATTGCAATTTTATTTACACATTAAATCAGGTGAATCGACGATATATCAATGAAATTATATAAAAGATGACATGACTTTTGTTATGTAATCGAATCGTGTATTGTTATAAAAAAATGATAGTTTGTACCATTTAAGCAATTTACATTAATTCGATTTAGGATCAATATGATAGAACAATCTAGGAACACCACTAATATTTTGAATGTACAAGCTATGTTTGAATCTTTAACCTTTTATATGGAATTATGTATTTCAACCACTAGGGCATCGTTTGCGGAAACCAAACCTGATTTTGTGGTGAATGAAGATTAAATTAGGTGGACATTAATGGGGTTCCATTAAAGGCATAGAGTTCAAATTCTTTCATGAACATTGCAATGAAATATAGTTCCATCGTTTATATAAATGATGATGTTGGAGACACTTATAGCACGTGAGTTTCTATTGTCTTGGATTCTAAAGAAGTTATTGTCGATGTGGTTAAGGTTATATGATGATGTGGGCACCCAAAATTTAGAGACATTTGACTTTTAGTCAAATATTGACTAAAATGGCAAAATGATCATTATTGAAAATTTAGTAAGATTATGGAGTTGTGATTTCATGAAAATGGTCGATATGAGTTTAAATCACTATGATGAGGTTAGAGGAGTAAGTTCAAGAGAAGATGCATTTGGTCAAAAGGGTAAAATGGGAAACTTTATGCTTTTTGGGCCAAGTTTGTGACTTGATAAATTAAGATCCTTATTAAGTCAGTGACAAATGAATTTGTAACGACCCAAAAATCACGATATAAAAAATAATTTTGTTTTTAGATTAATAAATCGTTAATACATATTGTTTCCATAAAAACCCAGAGTAACCAATATTTAGCAAAACATCATTAAACCAGAGCAATTCACAGAATGCGGAAGCATGTGGTGTGTGCTCTGCAATCATCATGATCTCTTCCATTTGAAAACCGAAGTACCTGAAACATAAACTGAAAACCGTAAGCATAAAGCTTAGTGAGTTCCCTAAAATACCATACCACATACAATCACAAATTATCATGCACATACATATAATTGTCATGGGCTCCCCCACGGTCTTTATCTATTATGTCATGGGCTCCCCCCATGGTCTTTACCTGAAACGCCATGGGCTCGCCCCCATGGTCTGATATCCAATTGCCACGGCCTCCCCCCGGGGTCTTCCATGCAAGTATCACAGAGACAACTAGCATACCACATAACACGCAATAGGACGACATTGGTGCCTTTGACCCATGGATATAGTGAGAAGACTCATCTCGAATGCAGAAGCCCACTGATAGAAATCCCTAGCTGCTGCCCTGACGACCTCTCGAGCTATCAATACCAAAATAAAACCCAATCAACAATTGGGTTCCAAACTATGATCCATAATCCATACTTGGGGTAAAATAACAATCTTACCCCTGATCCAACATGAGCCAAACTGAGGCCCAAACCCAAAACCGAAAAGGTCCAACTACAAGATCCATAAAGCCCACTAATGGCCCAATTTTCCAAATTGGCCCAAATCCTCACATGGGCCTTTCCTTAAGCCCATTAACATTTCCTAAACCAAAACGCACATTCAATGCTAGCCCAACAAAAACTCAAACAATACAAGCCCAAACTCGAGATGACACCATAAGGCCCAATTACCCCAATTAGGCCCAAATCCATCATGAACCTATCTTGAGAAGCCCCAATATCCAAAAAGTCCTGAAATACTGAATAGTCAACCATAACCAGCTCCTGGTCCACGGTCCAAAGCCCAAAAAGTCAACAAAACAAGAAGGGTCAACCATGCCGAGTACGCCCTGCGTACTCAACTGGTACGCCTAGCGTACACCCTTTGGGGCTCGTACGCGCAGCGTACCAGATGGGTACGCCCAACGTACTCCCCTGGACCCCAATCTCCTCTATTAAGCACTCAATCACCTCAGCCCTTGCTCCAAACTCTCAAGTTTGATTCCTTTGGATGACTTTTCGAGTAAAGTTCGCAACTTTACTAGCATTCATGGCTTAATGGGGCTCTATAGCTCAAAAGAGCTTAATGGATGGTCTTAACACATGCATGAACTCAAAAAATCCACAAAGCTTGCACCTTTATGAATGAGGGACCCTTAAAATGTCCAGATCTACTAGATTGAGCTCCTAAAACAACCCTAGCTCACAAAGACCAAGCAAAAGGGACTAAAATCGCCATAAACAACCCAAAAGTAGATCTATTCAATGAGTCGCCAAGATAGAGACTTTATACCTCTAAAGTCTCGAAATGGAGATGCTAACACATGATCTCTAGGCTCTTCTCCAGAGGTTTGGTTTACCACCTTCTTCTTCTCTTGCACAAACCACCAAGAATCTTCTTTCAAGCTCCAAGCTTCACCCAAGGCACTCTAGGGTTATATGTATGTCAAAAGAGGTGGATGCTGACCTAAAATGACCAAAGGGATGGTATAATGTCGTTTATATAGGGTAGGAACCCCGGAAATTAGGGTTTTGCTCTAAAGGGAGTACGCCCTGCGTACCCCTTAGTACGCCCTACGTACTCACAAACCACCCGCGACCACTTATCCTTCTATGCTCCGCGTTCACAATGAGTACGCCCCGCGTACTCATTGAACCCCTAAAACCTTGAACTTCACTTAGCTCTAACTTCTTCGTCTTTGGTCCGTTTCTGACGAACATTATATCCACGGAAAGGTGGCGAGAAGCCCAACGGTTCTAACAACACACCCAAGCCTTAAAACATCCCGAACAAAACCTGAAACCCATAAAAGACCCGAAATACCAAATTATGATTATACCCTTGACCTCTGAAGACACAATCGAACACTTGGATCACTTAGACCATAACACCCACGCCCAAGCATGCACACTATGTTTACCTATGGTCCTTACTTTGTGAAATAGATCAATTGAACACATTTCCAATGATGCTAATTTCACAATTCCTAATCCTTATCGTTAGTGTAAGAATACAAGATTCTCGCCACTACTAGAATATGTTAGATTCTAACATTTTATGCAACGATCCCTTCGTAATGTCATAGCATCAAAGCCACCAAGACTTTGCCAATGATATTACAAAGTGCTCTATTGGAGATTGCTACAAGGCAATTCCATAGATATGAAGTCTCACATTCAAAGTAAATTCCTTTGAACATCCTTCTTGCATAAAAGTTTCTAATGTAGACATAGATTCTCAATATCCAACTCCCAATATGGAAACATTTCCATATTTGTCATACGACAACTCATTATTAATAGAATCATATCTAATCATAATAATGTTATTATGGTCCATTCGTTACTATACTTCAAACTGCCCATAAGTGACCAATCCTTGGCGAACCTTAGGTGGTCCTTGACAGTCGTTTAATTATTTTAGTCAAATCCGGTTCTAGTCCTTTTTCCCTCTTAATGCCCTAGGCATTTGGAAAATTTAGAACGTTCGAATATTACAACATATGCAATCGATCCTATACCTGAAGCGTATGGGACACGATTCATAATGAAAAAAACGTGATACTTTACCAGTTTTTTGCTATAATATTGCCATATATAGAATTCCTTTATGTTGAATCTTTTCAACATAACATTCATATATGTCCTTTGACTAAATTTAATTAAAATTTCTCGATCTAAGCTTTTAGATTTGAAACGAAGTATAATATCCTCTCCCTTAATTATAGCAAAACAACTTTTCAACCCTTGCAACTTTGCGAAATGAAACTTTTGTTTTCTATAATTAATATTGCTAACTTGCAACACGTAAAATAATAATCATGCTCCCACTAACATGATAATTATATCCATACCAGCATAACATTTATGCTCCCACTAGCTTTGATACGCATTCAGAAAACAGTTGGACTTCTAGAAATCAATTCTTATTGACTTCCAAAGTTCATATTTCTAATACGATATGCTCCGATAAGCCTTTATCTAAGCTTCTCAAACTCATACACCTTTCCTTAGATAGCTCATATGAATGTCTAAACTAATTCAGAACTTATAGCAATAAGTCCTAAATGTTTAGACTAATTGCCAAATCTCACAATTCGAACTATGAAGAGGGATGCCGTAATCATAATCGAATTTGAGAACGCAAATATCACAATTGCTATCTCCTTAAAATCTCTCTTAGTGAAAGCGTTTCCTCACAATCATTTTCATGAAACGGAGAGAAACCTTATGACACTTAGATTTTATGGTGCATGTGCTCTTATCCATGTGAATTTATCATAAACATAATCATAAGATAATGTTCGTGACAAATCCAAACTCTTATGGATAGAACTTGTTCAATCTTAATTTCTTGCCATCAAGGGTCCCACCATTGCTTCCAAGTTATTTAGCAACTCACCTATACTTGTCAATGCACTTTCATTGAACAAGGTGCTTGCCTTTATGCAGTCAATTGAGAACTTGTAGAACTCATATGCATAAGTAACTTTACTGGAATGGCATAGAAACAAAATTGTGTCAACACGATAGGTTACAAACCTCAAGTCGTGTGCTAGTGTCTAATAGGTTTACTATTGATTAGTTCTTGAACCTCTTCAAGATCATTTAGACT